TTTTTTGCTTTTCCATTGTTCCCTGCTATTGTAACTGCCTTCATGTGTTTACACTGACTTATTCTTATTTATAGTGGTTTTAAATTATAAATCTACAAACAGCTGATGAAAACTTAGAAAAATATAAAAGTATAAAAGCTGCAAACACTTGGATAATCCAGCACAGTGATGCATTAGGATTCCTTGCATAGTTTTCCTGAATTGACCATATTTATGTTGCTGTGATCATTTAAAATAGGGTTTGTTTCTGTGCATTTTTGCTCAAAAGCATTCTAGAACAGTGAAGAAAAACAAACAACCTGGCTTTCCTGGGAATTAAATATTTAGAGAGAAGAGGCGGGTGTGAAGTCCACTGGCAATTCTTCAGGCAGAGGATGGAACACAAAGCAGATGGGTTTCACTTCCAGCTTGGGAAGCTATTCAAGGATCTTGCAGATGGCATCAGTGTTTGAAATGTCCACAGATCAATTCCCCAGGAAGGTAAGGGCATGGTGTGGGTTCCCAGCTGTGCAAGGTCCTCAGACCTCTGCCCTTCTGCACAGCTGGGCTGTTCCTTGGGGCTGGGGCTTCTCCCTGCAAGGCCCCATAGGAGGCAGGGGTTTGGAGGTTCCCCGTGGCACACAAGAAGCACAGGAACTGTGAGGAGCTGGCCTCTGCTTTCCATGCTCAAAGTGTGGCCTTTTGCCTCCTTAGCTAGGTATCAGGTAAAGGCCAAATTTTGGCTGTTTAAATTCACTCGTATCACCAAATCTGGGCCAGAAAGAATTCCTACACATGAAGGACATTAACTTCAGATATCACGACATGCTGCCTTATCACAATGTGCTCCAAAGTTAATTCCCATCTGATCATCCAGGGAATGTCAGATTTTGCAATGTCTGTGATGGATATAATAAGCCTTTATCAGCCTTTATCACCAAATGTTTCTCAAATGAAGGCAGAAGAAACAATAAAGCAAACACCTTGTCAAATTAACCTATATAAAAAAAATCTGTTCAATTAATAAAACTGGCAAAGAATCTAGGAATGTGGGAAGAATCCAGAAGAGTGACAGGTTTTTCAAGCTCAGCTTCACCCATTCCTAATATTAGGGAGAAAGTGGTTATTAAGTGAGATGGAATCTGTGAGATCTTTCCCTGCCCTTTGTTCTGTGGAGAGCCCAACAATAAAAGAGATTAGGATTAGACTGGTTTATGAGGGGAGAGAATGAAATGTTTAAAGCATCTAATGCAGTCTGGGAATGTAGCAAACAGCAAATCTCCATAATTTCACACCCCTGATGACCAAAGCCAGTCCACCCAACACAGGAGAGAGAAGAGCAGCAGTGTCTGGGGTTCAGCTCCTGAGGTTCTGAGTGGAGTTGTTGTCATGGTTTGACACTGGCACAATGCCAGCTCCCTCATGAAAATGCAATCTCTCAATTGAGTGCTGTGAAATGTGATCGAGAACAGAGCACAGCAGGTCCAAGCTTAATAACAAAGGGAAAAAACTTTATTAAACTACTACTACTATACTACTATAAAAGAAAAAAGAAAGAAAAAAAAATCACACACAAAATTCAAAATGAAAACCTTTCAAAACATTCCTCCTCCCACCACCCAACTCCAACAAACCACAGTGAGACACAATCTGGACCCCAATCAGGTTTCCACCCTCCAGACAATCAATACTCAGTCCATCGAGGGAACAGGAGTCTCTCCTGTACCACAGACCCCCCAAAAAATACAGCTGCCACCTCTTGTGTTTCCATGTCACACATGGTACCGTCCAGAGAAAAAGTTTGCCATGGTGACCCTCTCCTTTCCATGCACAGTGCTCTCACCACCAATGCATGGATGGACAGACTGCTTTTAGGATTTTTCCTTTCAAGGATGCCCTGTCGAGAGGGGAAAAAACAACAGTTCAGTTTTTCATTTTTGGGACTACAGTCCCCCCCATTTTCCCCTGGGGCCGAGGGTCCAAGAACAGAGATCTTCTTCTCTTCTTCTTCTTTGAGGACAGGGGGCACCACCACAAACCCCCTAACCTTTCTCTGTTTGCTCCACTTCTGTCTTTCCCCAGCTGAAGCAGGTCTCTTTGGCTCACTGGCATCCTCCTAAAATACAGTCTCTCTTGGAGGAGAAGATTGATTCAGTCTATGCTACCAAGGAAAAAGTCCAGCCAAAAGCCACTCTATCATCTCCTCCCACCTAGAATTTCTCCTTCTAACATCTCAGGTCCCAGGCTGTCTCTCTTCCTCTCCTTCAAACTGAGGAGGAGTAGGCTGGGCAGGGGAGAGTCCTGCACTACACCCTGACAGTAACCAAAGAGAGTGAGTCCTCCTGGGAATTCTGCTTTTAACCCCTCTGTGTTCTCAGAGGCATGTCCACCCCCAATTGGTCACTCCAAGTGTCAGTATCCAAACCTAACCCCTGACTGGATTGACCTCTTCCTGCTGAGAATATTCTTTTTCCCATGTCAAACCACGACAGTTGTTTTTTCCCAGGAGCCTGGAGAGCTCCCACCAAGGCTCCAGCATCCACATGGGACAGATGGGAGGAGCCATCCCACCTGCAGGGAGCTGCAAAGGTGAGGGGGTACATCAGCCCCTCTTGGCACTGAGATTTGGCTACAGGCTTTGCATTCTTACAAGTGGTTTGTGGAATTCCCCCAGAGAGGAAGGAGATTTGAAAACTCCATTGGAGAGCAGAAAACAGCACTGAGCTCCCATCTGCTGCCTCACACAGAAACGTTCTGCTCTGCAGTTAATGTTCTGTGCTAACACAGCTGAAGGCTGTAAAAGATGTGCCCATGTCTGCAGGATGCTGGTAGTTGTATTTAATAGGCACTTATGTGTTTCATGTGATGTAATTGTTAATAGGATTTCTACACAGTAATGAGTCACTTATTAATCAAGCTTCTTGAGAAATGACCAGAAAAGGAATTATGATTTTCAAGAGAAAAGTGAGAAATCTCCTATTTAGCAGACTAAAAATAGTACATACCCTCCCTGAGTAGACAAAATGAGTCCACTGGAAGTTATTGACTGAGGTAGTACCTGAGGGACAAAAATTTGATGCACATTTCTTTCCTTGGCATTTAAAAGAGTCTTTTTCCATGTGAAATGGGATAGCTGGTACAGAAATTGCACTGATTCTGCTTTCTTCTGTCACTTCAGCCAGGACAAGGAGCTCAGGCTGGCAGTGCTTGAAGGAAAGGAAGTGCAAGATTTGGAGATCATAACCCTGTCACATTGCAGTTCATGGTGAGGTGGCCATTTATACAAATTCATTCAGATGCTTCTTTCAAGCTGTATTTATTGTATTCAAAACTGAGCCACGTATTTCTGCCTCGGGGCGCGAATATGTTTATTTTTCCCTGGTAAACAGAAGACTGTTTTTCAGACTTAGAAAAAAGCTACATAAAAAAGAAAAGAACCCTGTACTTGATGTAAAATTTGAAATACTGTTAGGTAATTCAAATGAAAATTTCACTACTGCTCATTTCAGACTTGGGTTGGGTTGTAGGGGTAATGGAAAAAACTCTACATGAAAATGGATTATCAGCAAAGCCTAACAGAGTAGTCAGTGCTATGCTTTATAGTTTGTCCATAAATAACAAAACAAAAAAGTAATAACAATAAATTTAGCACAATACATGATGAAAAGTGATGATTATGTATAAATTAGAATGTCTATTTTCCAGCTACAAAAGAAGGATGAATCAAATCTCCTTCCCTGAGGCTAAGAGCAGATCTTTAACCCTAATTAATATTTTTACCTGTAAAATTTGTATGAAATGAGTAATTACATGTTACTGAAAGTGCCTGTTGAATGATTTAGTATCACACAGATGAAAGTCATGATGCTATGGGTGCATCCAGATATAAGTGGCCTCCTGGAAAATTCAGAATTATGTTTTAAATGTGGGGAAAATGTTGACTCAGTCAAGTCAGACATAGATTTCAAAAGTGTTGTGTCAATAATAAACTTGCTAGAAAATCCCATTCCAAAAATATCATGACAAGAAAGGGTCAGACATGGACTTAGCAATTCCTGCTGAAATGTGGTAGCTCCTCTCTTAGTGGATGGAAACTCCATTTTTTCTCCCTCTCTTCTGGTCTAACTGCTTTGTTCTGAGAATCAGCCTGTGTAGGATTTTATGTTATTTATGCAAACATTTGCACCACAATGATTAAGAGCAGAGTGCAGCAGAGCCTTTTATAAGCCTTAATAAAATTCTGGCTATTGTCATCACTTGGCAACTCATGAAAGGGTGTGCTAAGAACCCATAACCTTGTCTGTTCTGTCAAGAGTGTTCCCCTGTCAGATTCATGTGGTTTCAGTCCAGCTTTTTCTTTTGTCTGTTTATATGCAGACATAACACTTAACAAGTGATAATGTGTAAACAAGAGCATGCATTATGCAGATAAATAGACTCCCACTGCTGAACAAGTCCTTAGCAGTTTGCATTAAAAATAAATACAGATGCAAACCAGAATTCAATATTTATTTTAACAGCAGGACTTTATCATTGGTAGCATTTCCCCCATGTTTCCAGGATTAAATAAGTGGGTTGTAAAAGAGATTCACCAGTCCAGAAGTTTGAAGCAGTTTAAACCTTCTCTTAATAGCACCAAAGGGAGAGATAACAACAATTAGGAGCCCTTCACAATATCAGGAAATTACATCTGCATTAGCTGCCTGAGAACTGCTGGATCCATGCAGCCACAAGTCTCTTTACTCACTGATAAATGTGGCCATCAGAAGTGCGAGGAAGGAGGCACCAAGATTTCCACAGATCTCAGCATTCTGAATGATACTGAGGTTTTATTCAAAGCACAAAATGGGTTTGGATTCCATGCTCCATTGAAAGAAGAGCATAACTCTCACTAAGCTGTTAAATATTCCCAGTATGTGCTTCTCATTATTTTTAAAGTGCTGCTTAAAAGTAAATTTGTCAGACATTCAAAAATATAAAAGGTGTTTTATTTTTTTCATTTTTCTGAGAGCATCACATTTCTAATCTTCCCTGCAGCATTTATTCTTCAATGCTGGACTCAGTCTACCTTCAGTCTAGTTTCCTTCAGCTCCTCACTCCAGTGTTTTTGATGTGATTGGGGTCAGAGGGGTAAATATGAAGTTCAAGGGATCAGTACTGGAGAAGGAAACAGTGTTTAACTCCAAGTTCTGGATTCACGAGGAGATCACAAAATGTGGCCTGGTAAGGAGCTATCAAATAATGATGACCAGGGCAAAGGGACCAAAGCAAGAAATGTTCTCAAATATTTATTGGAATTAAATTATAGATATACTTTAGCATTGGAGGTATTATAGGAAAAAGGTAAGAAAAATAAAAGCACAGAGACACCTGGATTAGAGGTAGTTGAACTGTGTCTTCTGTGTACTGTGAATGGAATTGTGCTTTTTATCAGGCTACCTGTTTAAAGGTGCTTTCTCTTGCATAGACATCCACTTGAGTCATTCCATGATTTTAAATATCTTGTTTCAGTGTGCCTGTCCATCAAAAGGAGGGAAATGCCTCCACTGTATGAAAGCTGCATGGCTTGGTGTAATCAGTAAAGCCTGATCTTTATAGTCATTAATCTTTGTTCCACCAAAGGATCTTAGAGAGAAGTTCTATTTTTTTTTTTTTTTTTTGTCCCAGAGGTCGTAAGGAATCTGAGAACTATTCTACACCACCAAGCTGAGTCCAGAAGACTTGGAGTTGAAATTTTTCAGGCAGAGTGGGACAGACTTGAGGTAAGTCAGAAGTGCTGGCTGAGATTTTATCTGCTGCAAGTTTGCTTATTGCAAAGTGAGCCTTGGAAATGATGCCACTGGGACTAGTGGGGCTTCCCACCTCCTGCTTTTATATAATTCTCCACATTAAGAACTTGCAATGTGCACATACTACTAACAAATCCCAGCCTTGCAGGTTAACAGGATTTAAAAAGGACAAGGATCCGTGATGTCTGCACCATCATAACTGGGTAAGCTTAGACAGGAGACTGGGACTTGGGTCGTGCCAAGTCCACGACCACATCTAAAAATCAGTATCTGTGCTTCCACTCACACAAGCAAGGGGAGGATTTTCACCCTGCAGAACTCAGCAGATGCTTAGGAGACTGTGTCAGGCTTTCTGTTTTGTTCTCTCCTCTCCCTCAGCAAAGTGCAACATATGGTTAACGTTCCTGTTGCATCGTGGTCTGCTAATGAAGCAGACACTTAAGATAATTATACTTCCCTCTTCAAGCTTCCTGATTTGGCAAGCTCATCTACTTGGAATTCTGGGGTATTGCAAGGGGTTTATTTTTTGTTTCCTTAGTTCTTATTATACATGAAAAGCTGCATATTTTGATTTGTTGAAAGTCCAATTAAACATTTCAGAATACATTCCCCTCCTTTTTTTCTGTTGCTGTTTTTATTGTTCTTGGTTTTTTTTTGTGTGTGTTTTTTTGGTGTTTTTTAATTTATTTGCCAGCAAAAGCAAATGTAATGTTTCATTTGGGTGATGCCAGCTGTCCATTGTGCATGCAAACAATGAGCCAGTGGAGCTGCATGGCTGCCTTGAAAGAATGTGTGAAATACAAGGTACACATCCTGCAGGTGCCTCTGCTAGGAGAATCTGTTCACTCAGAGGACATTTAGCTGATATATTTTACAGCTGGTCAAACAATGCCTTCAGGCGTCTGAAGGTTTTCACAGGAAATTAGTGCTTTGGAGTTTGCTGCAAAACATTATTTTATAAAACCAGTGTAATTTTTATAGTGCTCTTTTTAGACTGCTAATTCCTCTGCATCTTCTATCCAATTTGCCTCTTTTATTCTTTGTTTTAATGAACTGTATACAGTAAATTTCTAAGTTGATTTGTTGTGGGGTTTTTTTCTATTTTTTTTACCACTTTGTGATGCTCTATAGACATGGCCAGCATTTAGGTAATAAGGAATATGAATTGTTTGGTCTTTGACCTGTGGGGTCTTCGCTTAAGATAATTTGTACTTCACTCTTCAAACTTCCTGATTTGGCAAGCTCATCTATTTGGAATTCTGGGGTACTGCAAGGGTTGGTTGTTTTTTTTTTTTTTGTTTTTTTTTTTTTTTTTTTTTTTTTTTTTTTTTTTTTTTTTTTTTTTTTTTTTTTTTTTTTTTTTTTTTTTTTTTTTTAGTTCTCATTATACATGAAAAGCTGCATATTTTGGTATGTTGCAATTTGAAAGTCCAGTTAAACATTTCAGAATCCAGAAGAACCTTTGAAAACATTCCCATCCTTTTTGTGTGCTTATTGGTGCCCTAATGTTCTGTAATCTCCAAAACATTTATTCCCATTCTAAAACCCACATCTAGATTTCTATTCCAAGGATACTTTATAAATAATGAGAGTTTAAAAGGCAGCATGGTAGCGAATGATGAGGGACTCTGCAGTTTTTCTTGTGCCTCTCATGGAAAATGTACACACTTAGAGAAAGTCAGAGTAAAGTAGCATAATCTATTCTTTCCAGCTCCAATTTCATCAGACTAATTAAAGATGCCTCCAAATCCTTTTGTATTCAGCAAAGAGCACAGGTTCTTAAAAGCCATTGAGCTTCATGTCACTTAAATGACTGCCTGAAGTTGAAAAACGCCTTCTTAAAAGCTTGGGAAAAAAAAGGAAACTTAAGTGCCCATGTTCCTCACAGCCAAAGCTCTCATGCAGCTTAATTAAGAGCAAGTTTGTTAATTAGAGTAGCACAAATTACAAAGTCTTGGAGACCATGCTGAGGAGAATTACAAAACCAACTAACCCATCAGAACTTTACATACCAGAAAACTTCCTCTCCTTCCTTACTCTAATGCTAGGAGCAAAACTCCAGATATTCTCAAGGGCTGGAAGAGGATACAAGGCTGGTGAGAGGAAGAGGCACTGACTGTGAGAGTGGACTGCACAGAGAGGGAGGTTTTTTAGCATCATCATCCAATGTGGGATGCAATGGCATAAATTTTCTGTTGGTATTTTTTGTCTGAAGCCTAAAGATTCCAGTCAAAAGAGAACAGTCTTCAAGAGCTCTGATGAACAAAATGAATATTCACATTAAATTTGAAAATATTGATGAACCAGTTGGATGATGGAGGTGACTTCCCACATGACATCAAGTTTGGGATGTAGTGTTTTTCTGGGAGTGATTTCAATCACTACAGCAAAAAGAAAATCCCTACATTTGCAAGGATTCTAAGGAACTCTGAGTGCAATTAGTGTGATGGGCTGGGGAGAGGGTTTAGGGGAGCTGCACTTAATTCCCAGGGGTGGGAGGGAAGGAAGGAAACATCAGCATCTTCTTCTGAAATGGTCCCAGTTCAGTGGGAAAGCCCAGCTTGACCTTGCCTGAACATAAGGACAGAAGATGACATTAGGAAGATCCTCAGTGTGTTATTAGGCACTAAGATCCTTGTAGAAAGGAAAGGTTATGCAAATGAGTGTATTTTATATTTTTTTTTTTCCTAGACTGCTGACACAGAACACTGATGAGATTTGGGGGAGATGTTTTAAATTAGAAACTTGGGAAGAGCTGACAGTTGCAGAAGGGTACTGAGGTCACCCAAAGACATCTGGTAGGACTGTCAGTCAGGAGCACGATGCTGTTTTGCCAAGTATAGGGTAGGATAGAAAACTGAGCTGCATTGGAGAAGGAATAGATGAAGGTCAGGGTTGAATTCTCAAAAAGTAGCAAGGTTACAGATGTGAACTACATCAAATTAGGCACAGGGCCAAAAGTGCACATTAGAAATGCTGGTATGCAGAAATGGTTATGAAAGTTGGAGTAATTTCTGCATTTAAACATAAACCAAGTCAGCACAAACTGCAAGAGAAAAAAAGGCACCTCTTGAGGACTGTTGATTACAGATCTCTAGAAGAAAGTGAGTATAATCACCTCTGTTTATTTGGGCCTCTGGTTCTGGGCCCAATTTTTCTGATTTCATCCTTCCAGCCCTGTGTATGTCCCCTTTCCTTCCCTCTCTCTCTCCACCTTGTCATTTCAGTGTTCAGGAGCATGCAGGTATGATTTATTTTACTTCCTACTATTTGTTGTCAGCTCTTCCCCTGACTGCTAGCACAGGCTTTGCTGAGGTCTTGCCAATGACTGACACTGGGAAAACACCTGGAGGTTGCTATTGTCTTAAAAAATACAGGGGTATTCTTACTTTGCCCATGTCTGTACTGACTTCAGTGCCTGGCAGTGTTTTCCTACACCACCTGAAGGATGGCACAGCTGGTTTGCAAAAAGGGGCAGAAAGTGTCTCAAGAACAGACATTTATGTAGCACTGAATGGACAAACCCCTGACACAACAGAGGCAGAAAATTAAATCTGAAGAGGTAAGAGAAAAACAAAGCTATGATCTAAATGCTGGGATATAATTTTTGAGCAAAATTATATGTGTTGTTATTTCTTTTTCCCTCTTGAGAAAGCAAGGTGTACGGTACAGCCTCCAAAACAACACTGGCTTTCTTATGAGTTCAGTAAAAGCTCAGATCCAAATCCAAGGAGAATCTTGAGCATTGTCTGTTGTGGTTTAACCTTGATAAAAAAGAACTGTACAGCTCCCTGCTCACTGTCCCCAGCAGGGTGGGGGGTCAGCACTGCTCAGCAGCAATGAAAGCAGTGTGTTATCAATATCATTCCCATCCTAAATCCAAAACACAGCACTGCACCTGCTGCTAGGAAGAAAGTTAACTCTATCCCATCCAAAACCAGAACACTGTCCCCTCAAAGGGTCATGTTCCAAATGCTGAGCTGTGGCAGCTGAGGATGGATTGGATAAGGAAACCAAGCTGACAACAAAGCACCTTGCTTTAATACAGAAAGAGCTTGGAAATCAATCTGGCTGGAACTTTAACATGGCTGCAATGACATTTCTACAAAAGACCCCTTTGCTGGGAGATCATGCATTGCCACTTCTTAAGGAAGCAGAGTTCTTAGTTGCACTGTAAACCTTAATATTCACAAGGATAAAGCAAAACACACAGAGTACACTGTGGGTGTTGGGTAGCTATAAGGACATTAATGAGCTTGTAGGAGAGATTTCAGTGGAATCTTCACATTCTGTCAGGATTAATTACTCACTGTCTGGAGGAATGGTTCTCATCTCTGCTATGGTGGCAATGTTTTGGGCAGCACTGGCATGTTACACTGAAGATGGCTGTGCTGGATTGGATGTTAGTCTGGAACCCCAAAATGTCAAATCTAGAAATGGTCCAAACCTCCATGAGCTGCAGGGGTGTTGAGATCTGTGAGACCACACTTCATTAACCCTATTTTCAGACTTCTTCCTTTGGTCCAGCAATTTGTGATCCCCCAAGAAGTGTACTGACCCAGTGGCCCTATTTACCCTAAAAGGTCTATGAAAAGAGAGAAACCTGTACCTGAACTGCAAGGTTCTATAGTTTTGGGAGCAAAAGGTAGGGTAGGCTGGTCATGTTGCTGTTTTGCTCAACACAAAGGTTCAGTTTCCTAGACAAATGATGGACAGTGCCTCCAAAATTGGAACTTTGATCCTAAAGGGGCCCTGTGTTATTATAACATAAAGAATGGTTTTTAAACTGTCAGAGGGTTAATAGTTTCATCTTAATAATCTTGATAGATGGTGCACATTTCACCAGTGCTCCAAAAGCCCTCAAAGAGCTTTAAAATATTTTACTATTGGCTTGCCCTTCATTTCCCAAGGAAGTCTAAGGAGAACTCTTCTTGCTAATAAATTCTTTATCATAACATAGCTAGTTGTCCTCTTATAGAAGGGAAATATATCCTTTGCTGTGCTGTCTGATTAATTGGTCTAATTTTATCAGGAAAATTAAATTCTCTTAGTTATCTAGGAAGTTATCTAAAGAGGTCTCAGCAAAACCCCAGCCCATGAGCCTGATGACTTTATTAACTTATTACTTTTTAAGTGAGTTCTGTCTGAAGGATTCCCTTCAACTTTGAGGGCTATTTGTCTTCTGTTCTCAGAATTTCAGGATGACAAATGGGATGTCAGATATGACTTACTGTAAGACCTTATGGGATTCATAGAGGGTGGCTTTTACCCTTACCTCTAAATGCTCTCTATGAGGCAGCCTGTAAAGTTGCCAATTTTGGTGACCAAACCAGATATCTCAGTGGCTGTACAACAGGCAAAGTGTCTGCAGTCTTAACTGAAGCAGTTCTTAAAACATTATTGATCTTTTAGTGAGCAAAAGTGATAAAATATATGTGTAGAAATATGCATGGGATTGATCCCAGTTGTGTGTGTGTAGTACACAAAATAAAGGAGATTCCTGGCAGTTGTAAAACATTGCAAACTGATGCTTTGCTTCTCTTTGCTTAGACCTGTTTCAGAAAAAAAATAATTTCCCCAGATGTGCAAAGCTGGTGAAGATCTTCATCTTTGTGTTTTCCAGAACAAGCTGAATATAACAACCAGACTAAGGGACTCTGCTAATTTATTCTGGCCTCATCCCCAATGGAAAGGCCAACACTTAACAATCAGGTGAGAGCATGCTTTTGATCATAGCCAATTTGCAACACCCTGTGTTTAGGAAGAGATTTCCCCACAGGTTTATAGGATTGTGAAACGGTCCTGATGCTAAGGACCATGACCAGATGCCTTCCACATATCTCCAAGGCTCATGAATGTCTCTGCAACCTCTCTGCTCAACCTGTGCCAGTGCTTGGTCACCCTCACAGTGAAAAAGTGTCTCCTGATGTTCAGGCAGCACCTCCTGTGTTTCAGCCTGTGCCCATCTCCTCTTACTGTCACTGGGCACTGCTGAGAAGAGCCTGGTTCAGTTTTCTTCGCACCCTCCCTTCAGGGAGGTGGAAACAATGAGGTTTGAGAAGACATGGCCTCAAGCTGCCCCAGAGGAGGTTCAGATTGGATATTATGAACAATTTCTTCACCAAAAGGGTCATCAAGCCCTGGAGCAGGCTGCCCAGGGAAGGGGCTGAGCTGATATCTCTGGAGGAGTTTAAAGGATATGGTTTAGCAGCAGACTCAGCAGTGCTAGTTAAGGGTTGGACTCTAAGACCTTAAAGACATTTTATAACCCAAGTTATTCTATGGTGTTTAACTCCACTAATCTGCTCTCCCCTGAGCCTTCTGCAGCCCAGGACCTTGTCAGCCTTCCGTGCTGCAAGGACACATTCTTGGCTCATGTTCCCTGTGTTGTCCAGCAGGACCCCCAGGTTATTTCTGCCAAAAGCTGCTTTTGCAGTAGGTTGGCTCCCAGCACAAGCTGCTTGTTCTTTCCAACTTGTAGGAAATTCCCTCCTGTGCATAAGAGGACTGCTCCTTGGTGGTTGATCAGTTCTTTCAACTCTTCACAGAAGGCACTGAAGGATAATTTGCATTTACTAAAACAGAGCAATTTATGACAGTAATGTAGACAACAGCCCACTGTAATATATTAAACTCCATGAAGTTTGGAGGGCAACAACATAAAACATTAAAGCATAAGTGAAAGCCTTTTATTGATTGCCCAGAAAGGGGATCTAGAGATTAAAAAATAGCTACAGGAAAGGAAAACAGAAAGCACAAATTCTGCAGACTTCTGTTCTCAGACACTCTTCATTTACAGTTCACTGCTTTAAGTTTTAATGTTTCCTGATAAATCATATGAAACACTCTGTTGTATGTAACAATCTGAAATGTATATCTTTGTAAGATTAAAAGTACATTAGAACATGGAGAAGGTTGTCTATTATTTTTATTAATAAGTTAAATATAGATGCAGTGGTCAGGCATATATGATTTATGTATATACTTATATAAAATTTATATATTGTATGACCCTGAGAGGAATATGATGTAAGAATGGCTGGGTGCCATCTTCCCTATCCATAAGAAAGGTGCACGGAAATATCCTAAACCTCACAAAGCACAAAGTCTGGACAAGTATTTTATGGTAAAAGATAAAACAAACCCAAATGCATTGTGCCCTTTGCTGTCAACATGATAACTTGTAAGTGTTCTTTTTCCTGCATCTTCCTTCTATTATTATCATCCTGTCTGAGCTAAATGACCTGTGACAGATGAGAAATATAGGATAGTTCATGGACAAATAGCCCACTCAGAACTGGGTGTGTTGTGAGAGTATTGTAACCTGCTATGCTGAAGCTTAACAGAAAGGTAAAAGAATTTTTTTTATTCGGTCTGGCACAAGTTTCTATGTAGTTGATTAAATGAAGTGCAGGATGAGGCTTCATTGTGTTTGACTCTTCTGACTGAAAGATTCTGTGCCTTCTGTGACTTTGCGTGGAAGGTAAGAGCAGTGGGAACTTCTTGGTTACGTATGTGATGGCAAATCACACTCAGTGCTGCAATAAACATAATATTCCTGACATTCATGCTTTATTCCCTGAGGGTTTTGGAGATACTTCTGATTTTGGGGATGTTTCTAGTTTTGATCTTCTGTGTGGAAGTTGGATGCTTGCCTCTCTTAAGCCCAGGTTGCAACAGCATTTTTATTTTAGACTGAACTTAAATAAACATAATTGTCCTGGTGCTGGGGTTGGGGCAGGATGAAGTCACCACTTCTAAGGTCCTTTGTATCTCTATAATTTTGTAAACTTATTCCATCATCAGAGCTGGACACAAATTAGCTGCCAGGTTTTTATCTCCAGGTAAGGTACAGATTTTGCTCCTTCACAGAATAGAGAACAAGCCCTCCCATGTGAAGCCACCTTTTATTCCTTTGCAGGATATTAATCTGATGGTAACCTGCCATTTTCCAGGAGCATTTGAATAAATGAATTATGGTCCCTGAGTTTTGTAGCTCTTTCTGGATAGTTGAGAAGTTATTTGTAGTGAAACCTAGGCAAGGCATATTCCTTGGTTAGTGAGTTCTTATTTTTATGTGCTATTTCCAAACCCGGTGTGGGCTAGGTTGATTATTTTCCTTAAGCTGATACTGTTCTCTCCATGTAAATCCAGCATTTATTTCATGGCTGATGGCTCAGCTGGCTCTGGGAGAGGTCTCTGTGATAGAGCTTCTTTCAGTAGAGGTGGTTGGAACAGCAATCAGTTCAGTTCTGTCATCTTCTTATCAATCCATTTAAATAATGTTTCAGTTTGGGGTCAGGTGAGTGATTTGTTTAAGTTAATGACAGCCAAATGAAAGGATAAGATAGTTCAAAGATAAAGGTGAGGCAATTTCACTCATCTTGACTAAGGAGCTTGTGACTCAAAGGTGTTTTGTTCTTCAGCTGCTCCTTGAAACATGATTTGGTTCATGAAATTAGTATTTATTGGTTTGGCTGTTGGTTTTTAATCAGTATCTGATAATTCAGTGACTGTTGCTCATTTTAATATTTTTCTATTTCATCTGCAGAATTAATTGTTATTATAATGAAGTAGTTGAAGTACATTTCTTGAAAATAATGTAAGCCATGCACTTTCTGCCAAATTTTAGCAGTTTGTTAATGCTAATCCCAAGGACCATCTTGTCTCTGACAACAGCATCAAATTACAAATTGCTTTAACAAGAAATTCGAGAGATCAAGTCAATATTTTGCAAAACAGCTTGGGTTGTCACTGAGCAGAAGTGGTTTTCCTAGCTCAACAGCTAAGTTGAGCTGTGGTGTGCGTGGATTTCCATCAGGAAGATACAGATCTTCAGCTCTGGAATTAAAGTTCTCTGACTCACAGTTCCTTTTAACCAAGCCTGTGTCTGGTGGCCAGTGCTGTATGGCTCAGAGCTCTCTTGGTCAGTTTGTGTAAATTTTAATTTTTGTATGTGAGAAAAGGGGCTTGTGTGCTAGGGGAGAGGAATTCTCTGCCATGTTAGTGTGGTTTTTATCTTCCAGTGGTGATCCAACTCAAGATCCTCTCAGGTAGAAAAATCTTCAGAGTCTAAATCTTCAGAATCCATATACTGATTAGAGATACAGACATTTATTGTGACATGCAGCAGTGAAATTGTGTTAGAATTTCTGAAATTCCAGAACTTAATTTTTTTCTTTCTATCTCATGTGTTGCACTCAGGAGCCAGAAGATGCATTTTTCTACTTCAGGAAGGCAGTTTAATAATAATAAATAATATCTTAATAATCTTTAGACTGTTAGATGCCAAATACATATGAATTATTAATTATTATGTTGATTAATATCTCTGAGAGGTGAACACCCAGGCTGGCTGATGGAAGGTTCCTCTTGTCAAGAATGAAAACAGTGACATGAAATTATTTTTCTGGTATCCATTGATTCTGGGTTACTGGGGAAATCACAGAACTCCTGCTTCAAACTGACTTTGGTGATATGGACATGAAATCCATGTCAGCATGATGTCTCTCTCAGGCCCAGTGACACAGAACTGATTTATACAGAATTGATGGCTTTAGATAAAAGTAAATACAAGCAGAGGAGAGTTTTTGGAGAATGTCAGTCAGATTTTTGGCTTTTTGATTAAGTACTGTGTTGATATCTACAAAGATGTAATAGGCTTTATATTATACAAAATAATATAAAATTTGATGTAAATATAAACTGATATAAAATTTGATGTAATATCACGGTTGCCTGAACATGGAACAGTCTTTGGATTTGTCACTATGCTTTAATTCATTTGAGAATTGCCAAATGTGGAAGTAGTCACCAGTGGAAAGCCACTGCCCCAAACAAGAGTGACATTTTTGGTGCATCTCAGCACAGTCCATGGCATTCAACACCTGGAAGTAAAAGCACTCTTAAAGTTCATAAAACTTTTGATACAAAGGGCATCAAAATGTTAAATGCTGAGGGCAAAGCTTACAGATCAGGATCACCAAGGAGCTGGGCTCCACGCACAAGAAAGTCACATTCAAGCAATATGGATTTCAAATCAGCCCAGTGTGGAGCACCACTGAGTGAGAAAAACAGCAGTGGTAGCTTTGGAACAGGGAAATGCATCCTCCCAAATCAAAAAGGTGAATGTTTTGGCATCAGGCAATCTCAAGCTTTCAATGCAAGGTTGTTCCAGAGGCCTGTTGAGATCTTGGCTGTTGGTAAGGAATTAAGGAGTAGGAGGTGTTGAAAAAAGGATTTTTATCTGTCTAGTGCATTGGCAAAGACTCTGATTTTTTTTTTCTCAGTTCTTGAAAACTATTTTGTGATCCAGTGTTATAAACTACAGCCAGTGTAGAAAACAGGCTCCAAAATCACCCAGAGACCCAGAGACTAGAGAGGACTTTTAGCAATGAGAAATGCAAACCAGTTCAGTTTGTGTAGGTCTCAAAAAGATGGCAATGGGATGACTTGATTGCAAATTGTAGATGCCTCTGGAGAAGGCATAAGAGAAATTAATGGGTAGTAAAGGGCTCTTCAAATGAGCATGGAAAAACACAACAGCTCAGTCACAGGAAGCTGATTCTGGGCAAACTCAAATGAGGCACAGTTTTAACTGTGCAGAGTACAAGCTCCCAAGAGAAGTGTTTGGCTCATGAGTTGCTGAGTGTTTTTGAAATCAAGACAGAATCCCTCTATGGATGGCATCCTTTAGCTATAGAGAAG